ATATGCTGTAGCAGTCTTTGAGACTGAGGAAAACCTGATTAAGAGTTTAATTGACAGGGGTTGTACATACTTAAGGAGTTTAAATATCAAAGGCAATGAGGAGTACATATTTAAGCTTAGTAATCTGAGACTCATTGTTGATGTCTGTGAGGTGTAGGAGGTTAGCTGTTATATATCAATCTAATTGGTATGTGTATACACCTATGTGCATCAATTTCCTTTAATAGTTTATAAGCTGCACTGTAATTTCTAGGCCAAAGGTGGGGAAAATGAAGTGTTCCAGATGTGGGACTTCAACTCTCATTAGCCTTAGCCACTGTAGCAGGCTCTGCATATTAAAACTGCAAATAGGCGTGCAAAGCCCCTCCATCAGCAACATTCAGGACTGGTGGACCATCCTTCCCTTCATACACCCTCAAACTTCAGGACAGGGAAGGAGGAATGTTCCATTAGCCTGATCCAGCCCACCAATGGTCCTGATGCTGCTTCATGTGTCTCTTTGGTCTATGGAGTGATAGGCGACAGGCAGCTGGTCAGAAGTATCTTGCCATCTTGCTCTGTGATTTGAGGAGGGGTTCTAACTCTGATGTGGCACATGCTTTGCATGGTAAAGGCTTCAGGTTCAATCTTTGGTGTCTCTAGATGGAAAACAATCCTGTCTGAACCTATGGAGGACCTTAACCAGTCAGTGCGGATGGTATTGAGCTAGATGGATCAATGGTGTCAGGCCATTACCGCCGTCCCAGTGTCAAACAGGAAGGTGGATTTATTTGTGGCAAGCCATTCAGTCCAGTGGTTGTGTTTATATTATGGAACTCACGTGCCTGTCCCTTCCTCCATTCTGCCAAAACCCACTGCCATCTTGTGGACCTCTGAGGTTTCAAATCTTTATTTCTTGAGTGCAACATCTATAGTCATTCAATTAATTTTTAAATGTAATGTTCTATTAAATTATTCTATGCTGTAGGTTGTATGGTTTCTATTATGGGTGATCTAAAAGTCTAAAAAAGAAATAAAATAAAATATTTCTGTGTGCTGAAGAATGTCGTCTACTTTAAGTTAAGTCAGAATAAATTACTGAATAGATGTCTTGATATAGATTAACAACAGTTCCATTTCTGGCGAATTGTCCTGTAGTCGACAAATCATTTGACTGAAAAGCAATACCTGATATCAAATGAACTATGCCAGTTCCTGTTTCATCAGCAAGGGTGTCCAATCCTCTGCAGTTGCCTTTGCTAGAACTTTTTAAATAATTCATAGAAGATTAATTTAGGTTTAAAAGAAAAACTAGTTTCAAGCTGTGCAGGTTCTTTTTTTTTAACTTCCCATTCTTGACTGTTTTAAATGTGAACATGAAAATCAGACGTCCTTTGCTCCTCCTTCCAACTGACAGAGGTTTCAGCAAAAGCAGATCTGCTAAGAAAATTGCTGTAACTTACTCTCAACAAACCAAAAGGAAAACTGAGGCACCTGACATAATTCTCTCTAAGGAGTATGAGTCATTGTGTTAACGAGAACCTGCTGCCAAAAATAAATGTAGATCATGGCAATAAAGTACATTACTGGTGTATGAATTGGTTATGGGGATTTATTCAGAAGCATCAGATGCAGGAGAGGGCAGATGTCAAATTTAAAGCTGTAATGGGAGGGTGGATTCTTGTTTATTCCTTTATTTATGCTCATCTACATTATCTAGATTTATGCCCCACCCTGTGAATCTATTACCAGGCCAATTTAAAGTAATTTTTAAAGCACAGTAAAATAACTGGCATATTAAACACGGTAGGAACTAGGGTGGATAAAAATCAAGGATTATTTTTAAAAACATCGAGTTAAACCACAATTTAAATCACAGTAAAAAATTTTAAAATCAATGTTTTGATATTAATAATAAAAAGAATCTTGTTTTTTTAAAAAAATTAAATAATGATTTAATAAAAATTTTAAAAATCAATGTTTTGATATTAATAATAATTAATATCCTTTTAAAAAAATTAAATAATGATTTACATTGATTTCATTTAAATCAAATCCACCTGGTAAGAACAATTGCTATAAAAATATCTAATTAAAACAGTTGAACAAAAGTTAAAAAGACAAATAGTTTTGGGACTAAATCCAGTGTCCTGCTTGTGAATTCTCTGAGCTTTCCCCACAGAATGTTTTCCGAACAGGTTGTGTAAAAGGCCTCATCTTCTCTGCTGAGCCCCGTTTCCGATTCTGTGTACTGCTTTTGCCATGCATCTGTTACTCAAATTCTGCATCTCTTTCAAATCCTCTGATATTTGTATATAGATACTCTGTGGTGGGATATTTTCAGACATATTTGCTGTGAGACAGCGATTATTACATTTGCCTATAGTGTTAAGCCAAACTTTAGTACAGTACATGCTTCATTCCTCTACTGGAATATGGACCATCGTTCATATTTGTGTGCATTCCCTCATTGACTTTTGGGAGGAAAGTGTATGAGGTCAGAAGTGGGATTTCATTCCAATCTCTTCAGACTTAAGGTCATACTTGTACACAGGTACTGCAGGCACCCTAGCATTTTGTCCTGTGCTGGAGTGCTCATGGGAAACCGCAAGCAAAACTGGTGTAAAACCCATCAAGGGAACTGGAAAGGCAATTTGCTGAAGAGGTCTATTTTAAGGCAGAAAGAACTAATTGTATTTCCAGCTTCTTTCTCTGTGCCGGTTGTTGGGAGAATGGTTTGAATTCGTCAATGTCAGAAACTTTTATTTTTAAATTGAATTAAAAAAATAGAGAGCAAAAGGAAAAATGCACAAGATAGTACAAAAAGGTGCTGTAAGGGAATAAAGGTTACATTGTACCGATTATAGTCTGTAAGTCTTTTATTTTGTTGAAAAAGTTTCATAATTGTTTTATGGTCTCATATTGTCTCTACTTTGGCCTGAGATCTTTTAATATTGGGTGGAATAGATATGTTTAAATAAATCTTTAATTTGTCAAAGGTGCTTGTAGGACAACTAAATTAGTTTAAGGACAAATCCGCTAACTAGAGAGATGGGAGACTAAGCACATAGTCGAACAATAAGAACAAACAGGTGTGTCTGGGGAAGCAGTTTGAAGAAGCACCCAATGTGGTGTGTGGATAGTGTTCAACTAGCACTTGTGAGATCTGAGTTCAAGTCCCTCTCAGCCATGGAAGCTCACTGGGGCTGTGGAAGTGGTAAAGCCTTTTCTTTAAATACCTCACTTACCTTGAAAACCTGTTAGGATCACTATAAGTTGAATGTGACTTGATGGGGCCAAAACACACATGTTGTTTGGAACTGCAGTAGTCACATGAAGGGCTTCCCTCATGGGAGGATGCCGGTGATACCTGAGGAAAAATAAATCCTTGCTTGTGGTACTCGCCGGGTAGGTTCATGTATATATTCGTAGAGTGAAGTCCAACACTGGGAGAATGAAGGGCAGTTCCCTACACTCTGGAGTTCTTTTTTTGCTAGAGTTGGGAATGTGGTACAAACTTTTGAACAACCTCTTTGAGCCGCTCCCTCCTCCATCTGCAGCCTGATAAGATGCTTTCCTCATTGTTCTGTACAAGCATTTTGCAGTGTCTCCCGGCCCTTACCAAAAGCTAGCCCCCCCCCCGAAACCCTTTAAATGTTATAAACCCATTGTTGCTTCACATGCTTAACATTACCTTTAGAAACCTGTCTTTTGAAAGCAGGTGCCTTTTAAGTTCCAGAAGCAACCCTTAAAAAAATGACACCATGTTCAACATGTATAGCAGCTTTGCTCATCTACGTCACAGTTTGACCTCATACCTTGTTAGTAGGGTACTTCGAGAAATGGGGCTTTTATTTGTTATGTGTTGCTTTCATGGAAGAGCGTGAAACTTGATGGTAGTCAGATTTTGAACTGACAGATCTGACTGGTGGAATGAGAAATGAATCCCCTAGAATGTTATGACCGAAGAAAGAGGGAGTATAAATGCACTATTTAGGAAAGTTTTTAAAACATCAAACGTCGCGGCCAGAGCTCATAAATGTTCTCCTGTTTTTATACATTATAACAGTATGTGTGAAGGGGAACTTCTGGGCAGTCTGGACTGTTCTCATGACTATTGCGACATATAGTTTGTTTTGGATCCAAGACAGATAACATCTAGGACACATCAAATGAAAAAGCAGATGCATGGGAACTGCATTGAAGTTGGCTTCTCTTTCCTTTCCTTTTTTTTGTTCCAGTCATGGTGGCTGGGCTATGAGTTGTAGACGTGAATGTTTACTGAGGTCTCAAACGGTACATTTGTAGCATTGCATAAGACAAAATAAAATAAAGAGAAGACTTGTCTATTAAATACCAATGGAAAGCTTACTGTAGGGAGATTTGAATTTAGTAGTGTGGATAGGAATAGTCAAACACTGTTCCAAATACATTAGATTAATGTTAAGCTGTATAATCTTGATGCAGAATGGATATTATATGTGATGTAATGAAGCACGTTTTAGAATTTTTCTAGAATCAGGCTAAGTGATGTACAGTGTTATGCTCTTCACTTTTTGCTCCCTAGTTGATTAGTTTAATAAACAAAAACGCTGAAAAGTGAATTTGGAGTTTAAAAAAGAGAGTAAGTCCTACTGAACTGAATGGGACTTCCCAGTATTATGAATGTTGGGTTCAGAAAGCAGTATCCTGTTGAAATATTCACACACACAAATTATGTAAGCTGCACCAATCAGTACAGTATTGGTGACTACTAAGCGCTGTACATTACACAGTGCTGTGTAACGCTTCTGTGATAGTCACTAGTTCATGCCATAATGCAGCTTTCCCAAGTCATTCTGCTCTGCTCTGGAGGGCATCACAAAATTATTTCATTCAGGAAAATAAATAATTCTTTTGTAGAATTCTCCTCATTAGTAGGTTAGCTAATGTGATGAAATGTCTTTGCTTGGTGACATTTCTTCCCTCCAAATATATAGAGAATATATTTTAAAAAGTAAACTTTGTTTCTCTCTTTGTAGAAAATAGCTCCTCAAAATGGAGGACGGGAAGCCTGTTTGGGCTCCACACCCAACAGATGGATTTCAAATGGGATCTATTGTGGACATTGGACCTGACAGCTTAACTATTGAACCTGTAAATCAAAAAGGCAAGGTAAGTTTCTCCAAAAGGTGGCTAATAATCTTAAGAAATTTCTTTTGCAGGAGGGGAAGAGCTGTGCAGTGATACCTTTTAAGAAATTCAGAAAGTTATCTGCTTAGAGTGTCTTAATGCTTCCAAGCATTAGACTCTTGTTAAGTGTTTATGTGTCTAGATTGTCCTGTAGTACAAAATAGAACATATACTTGGATATGCATATGCCATGCTGTCTGTAGCCATAGTTCAGAGAGCTGTGGCAGGTCTTCTGCACAGTTTATGGGCAAATTCATCACTGTATTTTTCTTGGGATCTGTGGGTAACAGTGAATTACTACTGAAACTGCTCACAGTTATGGAAATCATTGGCATTACCTTGTAGTTTCTGTTACATAGAAACAGTACTGAAGTACAGTGGTGCCTTGACTTACAAACTTAATCCGTAGCGGAATGATGTTCGTAAGTCAAAATGTTCGTAGGTCAAAGCACCATTTCCCATTGAAATGCATGGGAACAGGATTAATCCGTTCCAGCATTTCAGAAAAAATGCCCCAAAAATTAAAAATAATAAAAAATAAACAGAGCAAATCCCACGCTGGGACTGCAAAAAAGAAAAAAACACAAATCCAAAAACAAAACAACAATAACACCCCCCAGTCCAAACCCACTGTCCAAAACCAACCCAGAACAGTTTTTAAAAAAGGAAAAGGACCTTACCTCCACCACTGCCTGGCCTCCAGCCGCCGCTGCCTGGCCCGGGCTCTGCCGCCACTTTACAGCCGGGATGGGTCCTCGCCTACCAGCTGGGCTCTTGCTCCCGGCACACGGTCCGTCCGCGCCGCTCGCTTCCCAGCCAGACTCTGCTTCCTGGAGCCAGCCGAGAAGCAAGCAGTGTGGACAGACCCTGTGGTTTTGGTCTTGCTGGGCCCGCGCAGGGGTGCAGGAAGGCTGGGAAGGTTCCGGGATGGTCAAAACAGCCACCCCTTGCCCTCCCGGACACTTCCCAACCTCCCTCCACTGCAGCACGGGCCCTACGGGGCCAAAATTGCCACCCACCCTTGCCCACCCGGACCCTTTCCAGCCTCCCTCCACCGCAGCGTGGGCCCGCTGGGGCTGAAATTGCCACCCCTGTAGCCCTCCAGGAGCCTACCTGGCCTTCCTCCGCCACCTTTTCCTAACTGTTGGGGCGAAACAGCTACCAAGAAGCAGCATCTTTCGCCACCTACAGTTAGAAATTTGAATTTCCCGCCCTTTTCCCCTGCCATCTCTGTTCGTAGATCAAAGCTTCGGCCACAAGTCAAAGCAGAATCTTGTGGCCGGAGCTGTCTGTATGTCAAATTGTTCGCAGGTCAGGGCGTATGTAAGTCAAGGCACCACTGTACACTGTTCATAATTTTGACCCCTTAGAGCATATTGTTGTTTAGTCGTCTAGTCGTGTCCGACTCTTCGTGACTGTGACAACCCCAGACCTACTGGAGGATGCCACACTTTCACTAAGCTGCCACCAACCATTCCCTATAAGAAGTCACACAGACCAGGGATGGATTTTTAACAAATAAAAGAACAAGGTTTATTTACATAACACACAGGGAAAATAAAACGATCAAATGAATAAGATACAGTAACGTGGCTTAGTCTCAATCATACATACACTAGTTTGGTTCACACAGAACGCATTTAACTAAAGCACAGACCCTGAACCTATCAGTTCTGGCTAACCCTACAGACACCTGAACCTATCAGGTTGGTACTGACTGACCCACAGTAGTACCCTGTCTGACACACAGACTCCCACTCAAGCTTCTTCTCTCAGCTCTTCTCCAGCTTCTCCTTCAGCTCTCCATATATATACAGTACAGCCCCTCCTCCTGATGTCCCACCTTCCACTCCCCATAGGATGGAACTTTCCCTCCAAACCCATGACAGACAGGTAACATCAGTGCGGTATGTAACAGTCCCCACTTCTGAAGAAGACAAAGAAGACTGTCTGCTGTGTCACTAGAGCTGTGGGACCAGAGCTTTGCTGATGTAAGTAACAATGGCTGTTTTGTTTGCTTGCTTGAATCTCTTCTTCACAATTACCTGGATCTGCATTTATTTCAGATGAATCACTTACCGTATTTGCTGGCATACAAGATGACCTTTTTGCCCTGAAAAACATGCCTCCAAGTGGGGGGGGGTCGTCTTGTACGCCGGGTGCACGTCCAGCAAACCCTCCCTCTCTCCCAGCGAAGTCACTTACCTGGTAGTAAGACCGAATAGAGCCCCGCTCCTCCTTGGTAGCCTGGGAACAGCCTGACTCTAGCGCCGAACAGCTGACTGTCGGGAACCAGCAGAGAGGAGGCAGCCATTTTGAGATGCGACCACATGGCTGCTGCCTCTCAAAATGGCTGCCGCCTCTCCAGAATGGCTGCCGCCTCTCTGCTGTTTCCCGACAGTCAGCTATTCGGCGCTGATGCTGTCCTTCTTCCAGGAAACCCTCGCTCTCTCCCAGCGAAAGGAACCAAAAGTGGCAAAACGAACTCTCCCCATGATGCAGCCAAAGCAGAATCACACATGCGGAAGAGGGGGTAGTCTTATACAGTAAGTATATAACGAACTCTACATTTTGAGTGGAAATGTTGGGGGGGTCGTCTTATACTCCCAGTCGTCTTATATGCCCAGTTGCCTTATACTGTACGCCAGCAGATACGGTACCTGCATTTCTTTATACTGTTGCATAAAGTTTAGGTGCTAAAAGACACTTTTTGGCCAGGTAATTTCCAGAGCAAACCTTTACACCTTGTCAGTCTTTCTTGTCTCCCACTCAAGCAGAAGAAGAAAACAATGGATGAGTAGACCAATCTACTCATCCTGAGAGAGACAGAATGTTATCACCTACAGAAGCATATACTTGGTGTAACCTGGATTACCTCTTCTTTAAAGTAGCAATGGTGTGTCTTCAAGTCGGAACTTAAAAACTAAAGCTCTGATAGTTTTTTCTCTTACACATAATTCAAATGAGAGTTTGAATTTCATTTACATTACCGAAATGACACATGTTGCCCATTTTTATAAAAAGATAAAATACATTATCTATAATTTGAAAAGTAAATGTATTAAAATACTCAATATATATTTTATATGAATTTAATTGGATATAATGTTATATAGTATTGTGTTTCAAAAGCATTAGAGTCACAATAGCATGAAGCTTGTTAGCTAAAAGAACGTAAATTGTTGATGAGCAATCATAAATCTTCCATAAGATAATTACGGTTACCGTCTGTAGAAAATTGAGAATAATCTCTGTGAGATGATCAACTGTAGGTGTAATCCAGCCTGTTGGAATGCTATTAATGTAACAGAAGCATGCTTGAGAGTATGGTGAATTCTGAGCAGTGCCTATAAGAGGCTAATTAAGAAAATTTTCAGCTATGGTTTCACAAGTCTAATCAGTTTTCAGTGATTCTTCGGATGCACTATGACTGCAGGCTGTAGAAAACGGATAAGATGGGATACTTGTCATAGCTGACACTTATTGTGTGATATTACAACTCAGTTAAGTGCAGGAAAAGATGAACAATTTATTTAAGAGGACTTCATAGTATACATAGTAGGGATGGGCTTTTCAGTTTTTTTTTTTTTTTAGACCCCAACTTCCAGAATTCTTCAAGAATTTCCCGGGCAGAATTCTGGGAGATGCAGCCCAAGAACAGAAGTCAACAGGCTAGGTTTTCTTACTTCCTTCGGTGCCTCCTTTGGCCTGTTCTACATTCAAAAACAAGGAAAATGCCCTGGTGCTTTCTGGGAACTACAGGATTTCCTGGGAGGAGTCTTTATTTGGAAGGGGTTCTTTACAACCTAATAGGTAGTGGGAGTACCCTTGCCTTCTGTTTTTAGGCCGCATCTGGAGAGTTGGAGAGTTCTAGGAGTTGGAATTAAAAACAATCTAAAAGCCCCACCCAAACACACAGTGCCGTTTGTAAAAGTAGCTGTTTCTGGGCAATGGTGCTCCTATGGCTGGCTGCCCCAGTATCAATAGCCAGTTGAAAACAGCACCCGTGCTTTTGTTATCCTAAGCTTTAGAGAACACAGCAGTGCATGCTGGTTTTCATGCAAGGTGCCTAAAACTTGTCATGGCTAAGTGTAGCTAATTGATGAGGTGTCGCAGTGTTTCTTGTTTGCATGCTTGATAACATGCCCAATTGCACAATTAGAGTGTACAGTATCTGACCATCTCACCAATTAACTGCTATTGCTATTAGCTCTGGCAAATTATGGAAAACGTATTCAAATAACAATAGAATGTGAGCATTGTGATGTTATGTTACAGCTTCCCTCCCCCTCCACTCACTCTTCAATGTTAGTTGCTGCTGATAGGAGTAGGGGGCAACCTGATGTGGAGAATTGTGATGACACAATACAAAACAAAATGCTTGTGATATAACTGGGAGAACTACACAGCCGGGTGCCAGCTAGATATACATCTAGAGCTGAATCTGCAAAAATACATAACATTTTTGGACTAAATTCAGAATTTTTAAGGCAGGGATCTCAAACATGTGGCCCAGGGGCCATTTGCGGACCACTGGATGATAGTTTGTGGCCCACGCCTTGCCTGCCCCCCGGAAGCGTCCACGCGTCCTCTGCTATCAAGAGTAAAAAAAAAAGGCTCTCCTCACTCGCTGGCTCTCTCCCAAGACAGCGCCTCTTGCACCCTCCATCTGGAACTGCAGCCTGCCAGCCAACCCCACCTGTCTGCTGACTGGCAGGCTGCAGTTCTGGATGGAGGGTGTAAGAGGCGCTGTCTTGGGGGAGAGCCAGCGAGTGAGGTACGCTGCTGGCCCTTTTCCCCGAGCACCCGAGCTGCAATGCCTGAGGATGGAGCTCGCTCCCGGCTTCGCTCCCGGCCCGCCTCCAAGCTACCAACAGCAGCTGCCACCGCCGCCTCTTTCAGGGAAGCGGTTCTCTGACTCTCTTTCTGTCTTGGCAACCCCAGCACCAGCCTGGCCAGCGGCTGCCTCAGCACCTGGCAAT